ACATGAGTGATATTCCTCAAAAAAACAATCATCTCCCCTAAGACAACTGTAGACAATCTAACTGGTAATGACAAGGTATCCAAGAGCCACAGACCCCCTCGGTTCAGGTGAACTTGCAGGGCTGATCAGAAGAGGACGTGGACACTCATTAGATAATTGATGCACAGGGTGCACTGCCTGCACAGGTCCGTGCTCACCTCCCTGTCCCTGAGAGTACATTTGTTGAGCACTAATTTGGGGAGAAGTGCTGTGGGCATCGGGCCCCAGGCACTGCAGCAGCACCCACAGGCACTCACACAGGATGAGTCCGAGGCGGCCCCGCAGCCATGGCGTAGGGGTGGACCCAGACCTCACTGAAGCAACGTGTGTTTTGGGGCACGGGGCTGGGGGGAGAATACGGGGCAAACATGGTGGTTGCCAAAGGGTTGCTAAAGCCCTTGCTTTGGTACTGGTCTTCTTACCGTGGTTTCTCAGTAGTTTGGAGCTCTGCCTTCTTGGCTGCTTGCCAAGTTGTTTGGGTTTTGATTCTTTATGGGGAAAACTACATTCTTACTTACCTCTTCACTTCCAGTTATAACTTATTTGGTACAGTGCCATGTCTATTAAGCAAAACCCTTTGTGACTTTTATATTCAGAAGGTGAATTGAATGAGAACAGGGGAAAACTGACCTTGGATTTACAGAAAACGATGGCTGTCTCAGCTGCACTCCGGTATCAGTGTGGATGCAAAGCAAGCAGAGGTTGCATTTCATTGTGGGCGAAGTAGGAAATACAATCCTTGGCACTGTTTGGAAAAATAGAGGCAAATTATGGCAATGCCATTAAATGTCATTTAGAACACGTGTTCTCAATAAGAAATGAGGAATGGATTGGTGCAAGGAGGGTGGAGCAGCAATACCAACAAACCCACTTCTCAGGATATTGCATCTATCAAGTTCTGACTGGCTAAAAAAAACACGTCCCACCTCTGTCTTTTGCAGGTTCTGAAGTACTAATTACCCTTCGCTCTTCCCTCCCTCTGAAACCAAGGAAGAGAGTTTTGTTAGCCTTGCTGCAAGGTTATATTTTAACTGGATACACCTACGACGGAAACATGACAATTACTCCAAAAGAAACAGGAATAAACAAGAAGTTGCCCAAAGTTCCCAGCTCCGGGGAACATGCTTCCTAGGGATGCTCTGGGGCAGCGGGTGGTCTCTCGTCCTCTGAATTTCTAACTGTTTTCAAAGAGGTTTCCCCGTTCTGTTCCTAGGCTGGTCAGAGGCCATGTCTCCGCTCGTGTTGCTGTCGGTTAAGCTACTCTTGAAGGCAAGTCTCCAGCACGAGGGGTGTTGTGGCAGGACCAAACACTGTTGCAATGGCGTAATCTTAACTTTTTAAAAAAATTATTAATCTATGTCATATCTGTTTTGATTGGTGGCCGTTAATTCCAGTACATATGACATCTTTGCCCATGCCATGGTTATGTTGTGTGTTAGGTATCTCTCGCCAGACCCTGGGATAAATCCAGGTAGCAACAAATTACTGAAAAAGCCTCCTAAAAAGCAAAAGGAGAATGGCACTGCCATGCCCTGCCGGCTAACACCCACATATTCACGTATACATACTTTTTCTGAAGTTTTTCTATTTTTTTTTTTTAAATAATGTAGCACTTTACCTCTTGTTTCTTTATTGTATCTACTTCCTCTTTTTTTTTCTTATTACAACCCAGAATTTTACAACGTGTATTGCGTAATACCTGTATATTCTAAAATTGGTTCTGTGTCTTTTAAATGTCATTTCACACTGTTAGGAGAAATTCCATATGGAATAATTTTCTCAAGCTCAAAAATACTTAAACGGGATTGGAAGTTTTATTTGTTACATGTGCTTGCTAAAAGTAGGCACAGCATGAAAACCTCTGTGAGCTTCTGTGGAGGAATTTTGTATCTTTTTAATTAAATCACCTTGTTCTTAGATTCAAAATTTGTCACTAGAAAATGTATCCATTAATTTTTTGCACCATCAAGTGCTATTATTTCTGTTCCCTATCAGCCTTCTCTTCTACAAAATTAGCACACACTTGGTGTGAACTACAGACGTTTTTCTGAAAAAATTGACACAAAGTAGGTTTTGGTAAGAGACTTTGATTAATTCTTAATCCACGTAACACACTGTTTGTTGGTTTTCAGATGTAATTTAAATTACACAGCGCTGGGTGTACCCATCAAGCTGCTGAAACAGGAGTTGGCTGAATAACTCTGCTCCCCCACCCACCCCCAGTTTATGCGTTGCCTGTACGTTTATATCTTTTAGTTTTTAAGTGCAAATGGGCTAGCTGCACTTATGGTGGCATTGAAATATCTAGAACCTTTATTTTTCTTTCAGAAAAATATCTCAAAAGCTTGTTGAGATTAATAGGAATTTTCACAGAGGACAGATTTCAGGGATTTATTGGGGCAGAAGGCACACAAAACAATAGATAATTATTCACTGATTGTCTACTGGATGGGTTGGATTTGTTATATATTACATATAACCATTTATTAGAATCCTGATAATTTGTAAGGAAGAGGTATAAGCTGTCTGTCTAGCATTTCGTTCTTGACCTTTTCTGGTCTGGAATTTCAGCTGTAATTGACTGTTTGGTGGCTGTGATCCTGCATTTCAGTCACATTAGCCTCCTTTTTTGGGGTTGCTTTTTTTTCTGTATTATGTATCTTTTAATTAGTTGACTATAATTCTTCCAGGTCTTGGACCATGGGACGTTTAATGTCTTTTGACACAAAGAAAAAGTGTTGAGAGATTTTTTTCATTGGTAAATTCCTCCTCTGGTGTTGGGTGTCTCACTTTCTCCATGTGAGACCCAAAAGGAGCCTCAGTTAGAAAGTGGGTTTCTCTTGCAAGGGCGTTTCAGGAGAACTGGTGAATAATGCAGCAGAATTTTGCAAGGACGCAATAGCAAAACCACTGTTTTACCTCATCAGCCCGTGGGCACCGCTTTTGTTGTGATCACAGCAGGTTTTGAGTGTTGTATGCACAAAGGGAAAGGAGAGAATGAACAGAAAGTAGTTTATGACTTTCCTCAAAGGCACTTTTCTAACTCAAAAATATAAGCCTTGTGGTTTATATGGTTTTGAAAAGTAACCACAGATATTGAGAACTGGAAAACATTTGATTTACCATCTCCTCCAATTTTGGTACCCGATTCAGGGCAGGGGAAATGTATTTTCAGAATGAAAAATGTTGAAAGGAAATATATTAATGTCAAAAATTTTAAAACAGGAACGTACTATTTGGAGAAACTGTCAGATGAAGAAATTGAGGGCATTTGTGTCTTGATGGAGTGGGTGCAGATGTGTCTTTTTGAGATCTCCACCAAAGTGCTATAACCTTGTTTTGGTGAAGCTTTGCCAGATATTTTATGGTCTGCAATCCCCTTTTTTTGGAGCTGTGAAGGTTCAGTGTCACACTGAGCACTTTCTGTTCGAGCTTGATGTAGGAACTGCGTGGGATCAGCTGCCTGGGGCAGGTCTCAGCCTCTCCAGCATAGTAGACCTGGCCAGCCTTGGCTGCTCACAGCTGGGAGCAGAGCGTGCTGATACTCTCCTACTTGCCACACTGATTTTTACACTGTTTTACATGGCCTCATCCTTGTTTTGTTTGTTTTGCTCGTTGAATGACCCTTGCTAATAGCTGGGTATCTCTTCAGTATGTAGGAGTCTGTACAGAATTTAATTTTTCTTTAGAAGTGGAAATTCTGGGTGTTCTTGGTGCGACATACAAAGGTGTTTTTCTGGCCTCCGTGACCTATCCTTGCTTTTGCAGGCACCGTTCTGTCACTGTTTTAATATGTGTATCTTAGTAATTGCTGTTTCTTGCTCCTACTACAGCATCGGGACGTCACTCCAGAATTCTCCTGTTCTTGTCCTCTGAGTTGAGCCCAGATGCACTTGGGATTCAGTTATGACCATTTGGTTTTCAGTTGCTTTGCTTTGTTCTTCCTTCCCATGTATTTCTTCCTCTCTCCCTTTTGTGTTGAGCTCTGTGTGAGCTCTATGGCTGCTCTCCATACTAGTTCTGGAAGGATTATGAGACTCCTTGTAAGGTCCTGTCATTTTTCCTTGGATATCCTGGCATTAGTTTCCGGCTCCTTCTCTGGTTCCTCCTCAGACATGGATGAGCAGGAACCTATCTAATATTCCAATGGGAACATAACAGTACTGTTACTGCTTCATTATCCGTGCCAAAGACACTCATTTTTCATTTAGAGGTGCCAGGAGAACCATGAAGAGGCCAGTCCCCCAAAAAGGTCCTGCAGGAGAAAGAAAATATGAATTGTTCATTTCTTTCAGGAGCCAAAATGACATGGACCTTCACATTTACATCTTCTATCCTAGCTGGAGGGTAGCTAGATACAATAGCTCAAGATCCAACATGAACTGCAGCGTCTTTCTGCTCTGGTGGGGCCAGGCAGAAGCATAATGTTGCATTGCTGTCTCGTTCGTTTGGCTCTAGGAGTGACTGCTTGTCGATTATTTTGTTATGTTTAACCTCTGACTGTGTTTCATCCTTAGATACTTAGAAGGCTTTACCAGGTAAGGAAGGAAACAGCACTGTTCTGACACCAGCGTACCACGGTTAATACGTCAGAGTCTTCTCTCCTTGTTCAGTCCTCATTCTGGAGAACTGCGTGGGAATTGCCTCTTTCCTACGCACAGGCTGAACGGAGAGCAAAACCTTTTGGTCAGGTCATGTCAGAAGATGGGTGGTTGCCCTCCCTGTGGTTGGCCTTCTCCTGCCCCAGCGGTTCGGTACTGGCCTCCACCGCCACTGCCCGGCTGCCCGACAGTGGGACCCGGCAGCGCCCCAGACATTTCATAGAAATAACTACATTAGGGGTGCCTTCACTTCCAGGGTTTGGGGAAGGTTGTTTCCCACTTACCCATGCGTGCACAGCGGCATGCTGGCAACATGCTGCGTTGTTTAAAATTGGCTGGAGAGACGGTTTTCTTGCATCCATGTACCGAAAAAACGGTGCGGTCAGATTTGACTTACAGGGAGGTAAGGTAGGAAGAAGTCACATAAGAAAAGGGCTTATTTTGTTGATTGAGGTTTCGAAAGCTTTTTAACAAGTTGAATTATTGGCTGTATCTGAAGTGAAACACTGCTTTCCTAACTGCTCTCATTTCCTGTATCATTCCAGCTTGTTCACTGCATTAATTACAGTTCAGATTTACAGTGTATTTGGTTACACACTGGGTTGCACTCTGATTTTTTTCCTCTGTGTGTATAAATTTCTTTGGGAGTCAGGCCAAGAGGAGAGTGTGTGTGTATGTATGCGCACACACATGGGCTGAATTGACTGTTAGTTGCTATATTTGCGAGGAGTAGGGATCTGGATTTTCTTTTGTTTTATTGTAAAAAGAGACTTTTCTTTTTCCAAAGGAGAAGCAGTAGCTGGAAACAGCCAGTGTTTGGAGAGTTCAAGATTTCAGAACAACCAGAGATGAGAGAAAATATTATCTTATGAATTGTAACGTGGCATTTTTAATTTGGCTGGTGTTTCCCAGAGGTTAGTGGATAATGGGAACACTATCATTCTCTTGGCTCAACCAGTGACCAGCTTGCTACTTAAAATATTTTATAAATGCAGTGCTTCAGTGTGCTTAGTTGGATGAGGTAGAGCTTTTCACAGTTGAAGTAGCTTTTTGTGACCTGAAATACAAAGTGAGATGGGATACCAAGCAAGAAGTTTAGCATTTGAACATGAGCTATTTAGGAACTGTAGAACGTAGAAGGTAGTTGAAAGTATGTTTCCTTTTCAGTTTAACATTTTTCTTTTGACTTTATGAAAACATAAGAGGAGATGCACTAAATATAAGAGGAGTGTTTTTGGAGAACTCATTCAGATTTTTGAATTCATTCTTCACATGTAAACTGTCGATGCAGTAGAAGATTTTCATTCAGAATATTCTGAGTCATGATTTCATAAGTAAATGATTGCAAATTAAATAGAACCAGATATCAAAAATGTTACTGCTTTTAAAATGAAATATTCCTAGACAGTTGGATCAGAAATACTGGTTTGATGTATAATGGTATGATGAATAACACTGGTGTGATGAATGATAATAGACACAAAATAACGACTGAATGCAAGTTTTCAAATAACTAGTGAAAAGCAAAAGGAAAAATTAAAAATAACTTTCTTTTGAAATAATTAATTACTTCCCCCCCTCCCCAGCCTTTCTACTAATCACAGCAGCATTTAATCTTTCCTCTTCCTCAGACACCATCTTGCCCGAATCACGTCAGAGCCCAGCCTGCTTCCAGCCCGCGTGGCTGGCCCGGTGCGGGCAGGCTCGGCTCTCCAGCACAAAGGCTGCCCTGGGCTTGTCAAGCTTCCCCTAAACTCACCCACCCGCATCTTCCGTCCACAGGTTGCCATGAGGTTAACACTCTAAAGAGCCATTTCATTAAAAATTAGTGTGTTGATAATGTTGATAATCCTTTCCAACCTGTGCAAGATGCTTACTCTTCTAGGACCATTTTGGTTTAATACTAAAAACGGGGGGGGGGGACACACACACGACTGGTGGGGATGTATTTGGTGCATAGCAGCAGCATGATTTAGTTGTAAAGGCACCAAAACAGCTTTTCAGTATGTGAGCCCGTGTGGGTGTTTAGTTAAAGCTATGCATGGATGATGTCTGTTATTTTGTTAGGATTTCAGAGTGAAGGATTTTAGCACTTTAATCCTGACTGACAGTTGGAAGGTTGGTGGTTTCAAACACAGTGGCATGGAGTAGCTGATTTCTCTTCGGATAAACAATGCACCAGTGTGTCTAGGCTGCCTGTACAAAGCCAATAAATCTGTTTTGTTTTGTTTTTCTCCCCCCTTTTCTCTCTCTCCCTCTCTTTCTTCCCCCTCCTCCAGGCCAGGACCCACTCCTGTTGCTGAAAACCCTTCAGCTTCTCTGGACAAAGAAAGAGATGAAGAAGGTACGGGTGAGCCTCCCCTCCACGCTGCAGTTAATAACTGCATGCAGAGCATGTCCAGACGCAGAACACTTAGGTCAGACCTGCAATTCTTCATGATTGCTTTCAGTTCCAGCGCACAGGGAAGGGAAGAGCCTATGCATTTGCAGCAAGAAGTGGAAAGAAAAGGTAGCTCTGTGTGGCATGAAGCAGGGGCTCATATAAAAGAGCTGAAGTTTACAGGGCTGAGTTACAGAGGGGGAAAAAAAATCAAAGTTGCTTTTGTTTTCTTTTAAACACTTTTTTTGTCCATCAAATGGCGGATCTTTGGGGGAGGGGGAAGAATATTTCTAGTAGCTGAAAAAATTAGGGTTGAAGTCAGTAGAAAAATGCTCTTTGCCAAGTGGGATGATATCAAAGCCTTCATATTCATAGCATTTTTACTATTTTTTCTGATTTGGTTTGGTTTTGCCTTTTAGAGTGGTGAATGCAATTTACACTGCCTGTCTAAAATTAGTACTATATTTTTATACGGCACCCTATGGGCTCTATGTGGAGATTTCATAGGCAGGAAAATATCCTTCATCTAAATTTGGGAGCTTGAAAACTAACAAAAACACTAGATGCATCAGCTTAGTGGTGAGTTTCCCATGTTTAGCTCTGGGTTGTTAAGGCAGGTTCATAGCTCAGGTGTTTTTTTCTAAAAGACCCAAAGCTCACCACGTAGCCACGTGGAATGTGTCCTGTGTGAAATGGCTGGCCTGGCTGAGTACCTTGGTGTACGTGCTCCATCGGAGGTGTTTGGAGTGTTTAGTCATCGTCCTTGTCTGCCGCGCTTAGACTTTCCATTACTGATAGTCTGTGGTTCCCAGCCGGAATAATTAAACAACTGGAAACACAGTGTGAGAGGTGCCTTTCCAAATGGTCAGTCACCGACATAGACTTGAGCTCAGCAACTCTGAAGCCTTGAGCTTTCCATCAAGTTTTGTTTGAGTTGGAGGAAAAAAAATATTATTTGTTAGGTCTTGAGGGCAGCTAATCCCACAAAACAACAGTAGGAAAGAGTAATCATCAAAATCTCTGTACTGTGTACCCTGGAATGTGTGCGTGGATTGTGAAGAAAAATACTCTGAAAAAGACAAAGCCTCCCATCGACGTGTCCTTGGGCAGAGAGCACCGCAGCTTTCCTGCTGTTTTTTTTGAAAACCTTGAGGATCCCCATGAGTCACAGTTGTAGCTCCACTTACTCAGTTTGTTTCTGGAACGGTCATGCCAGTGAGCCGCGGGGTTTTGCAGAGCGTGCAGGCTGCCTCCCCCCGGTGGGGCAGGTCTGTCCCCCTCGGGCCCACCCTTCAGGCAGCACCGCATGGCTGGGCGCCCGCGCAGAAGCATGTTTCTGAACCCGGAGGATGTGTTTCTGAACCACAAGGAGAGGAGGGCTGTGGTGGGACCAGGTGGTGGCACAGCAGCAGCTGCCTCTGAGGTGGGGAGCACAGCGTGAATGTCTCCAGTGCTTGTCACGCTGTCACTGAGATGGACTCATCCATGCTCAGGACATCGCCACCCTTCAGACACACCGTGCACTCACAGCAAACGTAGATGCTTTTTTCCAGGGCAGCTGCTGCCCTGCCCTCAGTGTGCAACTCAGTGATGCTGCTGCGTACATCCAACTGTCCAGTTCAAATAAATGAGGGAAGTTGACTTAAATACAACTCAGTCTGCTCCACCGACATTTAAATGGCAGGGAACTTCTTTGCCTCTTGTTGTGTGTGAATGTAAGTCAACAGTGTCTATTAACTAGTTTGAATCAGCCCGTTGGTCTCAAATCAGTGACCATGATCAGAAGTTCTGCTCATGGACACCTGATGCCCGTGGCATGACCTTGGTTCTAGAACATGGTTATAGAAGTTGTCACCTCCTACATAGGAAAGACAGTTTTGGAATAACCAAGAAGCATCAGCAGACTGTCCTGAGCTGTGTAACTACAAATAAGGGACCAAAACTGAATGAAGGAGAATGTAGTTTGAGCATCAGCAAGATTTTCCTATTCCCATGATCTGTCAGACTGTAGAAATCCCCCAAGGAGCATTCCCTGCCATGGGAATCAATTGAAATGGAAACGGCAATTACATGTTTGAGAGGAATCCTTCTCTGGCAGAGAGACGAGCCAGGCAGCACAGCTCTCTTTCCTCTCTGATTTAGGTGTCTCATGCCTTCTTTTCCTTTGTTTTTTTTCCCCTCAAACTATACATACCATAGTTGAAGTCTTCAGATTGCTAGGAAGTTCTGAATAAGGCTTTCTCCCTGCTTGTCAAAGTCTGGCTGGTACGAAGTCAAGATGCAGTCTGGCTAACAACAGCTAGTGCTGCCGGCAGTTGTGCGTTTGGAGATGCTCTGCGTGTGAAAGCAGGCTCCTCTCGCAGGACCTGGTGTCTGCTGGAGCCCATCCTGCCAAATCCCAGGCTCTGACTCCAGCCCAGGGAGGAGCTGAGCGGTGTGGTGAAAGCTCTCGTTCAGTCTAAATGTGCTGAAGCGGGGCTTTGGGGGGAAAAAAAGAAGAGAGGCCATTTATAAACAGTGCAATTTAGTTGGCGAGTTGCTTTGTTTTCCTTTGGCTGTTGTGTTGGATATTTGTGGTTGGACGAGAGCTTGCCTTTTCCTTCTGCTGAATCTCACAGTGAAGTTGGAGCCCTGTGTTTAACATTGCAAATTCTTGCCACAGGGAAAATACTTACAGCGAGAAATCTGTTATCTAAAGTCACATCTTTGTTAGTCATCAGCTTTTTCATACTGCATTTGATAATCGAGTGAGAAAGAAACCATTTCTGTCGTAAACGATAGGTTTTGTGGTTTTTCCAGACATGAAAGACACTATGGAAAATAACTGTCTTCCAGTAAATATTGTCAATGAATAAAAAAGAACAAATTCATTGGCAAATTTTCTGTAGATTTTCTTTTGTTTTCCGTGTCGTTCTTTAAAGTTTATGTTGTTTCCATTGGAAGCTACGACTGGGGCCATCATATACAGTAAATTACACGTGTTGGCTGCAGGCGGGAACGAGCATCTCTCAGATTCTGCTTTTTAGCCAGAAAAGAAAGAGAACAGCTGCTCTTAGTGATTTCTTGTTTTCTATCTCTGCTTTTGCCTTGCTCCACACCAGTACATGTACCATGTGGTGAAAGGTCCTGTGTGGGTGCTGAAGGATGCCACTTCTTCACCCTGCCAACCCTCCGAGCTCCTTGGAAACTACTTCTAATGTAAACATTATAAAGATATTGCTCAGTACTGCTAATTTATCACTTCTACCAGATGGGTAGTAAGTAGCCTATTAACATTCACAAAGTGAGTGTCCAATTCCTTCACATTTCTAAACACATCACCCTGGGATTCCTAAGATTTATGGCATGGAGTCTTCCCATGTTCCAAGCCCCTTCGTACGGCCTGTAGACTCACAGAGGTGTGCGGTGGCCGACGTGCAGTGGCAGTAGGTAGTCAACAGAAGATACCCTGCTCAGGCAGGTCTGGAGGAAAGGAGCATATATTTGCAGGATGGCAATCTGACAGAGTTTGAACTCTGATATTTCTTTCTTTTTAATCCTGTGTGTAAAATCTAAGCTATTTTGATACTCCCAAATATTACTGTTGCAGCGAGGAGCGTTACGCCAACATGACTGAAGAGGGTGTAAGGTCAAATATGAACGTTTGCAGTACAAGAATGAGGAGGAGGGGTTTATATGCTTTATTACTTGTAGGTCTGTTGGAAGATGAGTAGTTTGAGCCTGGTTATCTACCTTCAATATTGCCATTTTCCTAATAACACCCCTTGCTCCAGCTCCCTTCTTTTCTCCTCCTCCCCCAAATCCCAAGCCCCTTTGTCTGCCCCACAGAACAACTTCTCTGTCTGTATGGGATAATTAGTGTGGACAATTGCTGCTTTTCCCATTGGGTTTGAGGTGCAGTGAGCCATGAAGGAATCTGTAATGACATGAAAAGTCACTGGAGGCGCGGATGGTGGCTGAATAGCAACAGTTACCTCTCTGAATAGATTAAATTAAAAAAAATAAAGCTTTGTGTTCAGCTGGGGGAAGGGAGGATTCCCTAATCTTTTTGTACATGACAATGTGTTTTTGTATCTCAGCAGCTCAAGGAAGAAATCAGGCGGGGCTTTGCAGGACTGGAGGACCCATTGGCAGGACTCCTGGACATGCTGGAGAGCAGCAGTGATTGGAAGGGGAAAGGGCATTCCCTCGGGTATTACATCACCACTGAGTTCCAGCTCTGGATAAAAGAGCACCCTGCTGTTCAACAGGTTAGAAAAAGAGAGCGCGAAAGAGCTGGGAGAAAGGGGAGGGCAATTGATTTTAATGTCCCTCAAGTGTCCCCAATTTCACTTTATTCCATAGTCCAGCGTCTTCCCTGTACTCTCATACAAAGACGGTGTGATGACGTGTGAAATTCATACTGAGATGGTGTTATCTGTTGTATGCTGACCTGAAAATGAAATAATATTAGGAGTTGTGATGCGAGAGCTCTGTTTGCCCTTCCAAGCTGGGATTTCCATCCTTCCAGATCAAACCACTTTGATCAAGCGTTGATCTTGCAGCCTTTGCAGGGCTGGAGACTTTCCCACTGGAACTTCATCCCTGCTGTCAGGATAAAACCAATTGCAGTAATCTACTCTGCATATTCTTCCAGTTCTGCAAATAGAAGCCAGTTACTGTGCGATTGCTTAACTCCTGCCATATGGTGGGAGCTTTTATCATCGGGAATGCAGAAAATGGTAACAGTATGGCTTTTCAGCAGCTGAATGATTAGCTTTGTAACGTTGGGTCATCAAATTATAGGTCCTAATGTTTACCATTCCTTATGCCTTCATATATTCTGACCTACTGAGATTTTCTCTTTTTTTGTATGCTTTTGGCTCTTAACTGCAGGATACTTTTATATTTGTGTTGTTTCATTTCCCATTTTTCCAAATGGCTCTTTTCCGATGTTGAGCTCTGCCATTACAGTATCTGCAAAGGGCAGTGAAGTGCTACTGGCACTGAAGTTTCTGTGTCATAAGAGAATGATCATGTAGGAACACAAGGATTATTCATACCTGTATCTGTGCATCTTTTGATGATGCTTTTGCTTTTGCTGCCTTTCTTTCACCCAGGACTAAGCCTGGGAATGAAAAATTGAATTCTTCTGCCTGATAGGTGAGATCTCCCTGAAGGGGAGTTGCTGGAATCAAAGATTTTCTGCTGGGAACTAGAAGGGAGAATTTCTAAATAGCTGTGTTAGTAAAAGAGGGCATTTTTCCAGTTTCATATTTTACTTTTGCACAAGGCCATATGCCTTTTCCAGAATTATCCCGCAAACATTTAATGTTTTTAAATTGGATGCTGTGAAAAAAAAGTGTATCATATTGTTCTGATTTCTGCTTGTAGACTCCATGGGGAAATTGGAGAATCCCTTCCCAAGGAATTGGCTTATTCCACTGTTTAAACAAGCTGCATTTTCAACAGCCATTGAATTGTAGCCATCTTTACTAAATCTGTGTTTGATTTTTTTTTTTTTTTTTAAGTCTGGCATCAAGCTGCAGAAGCTGCAGGCCCGTGTACTCCGAATACTAGCCCAGTGCCCAGCTAATCTTCTTGACCCTCTGATTAGCATTTACCAGCTCCATACAGCCGACCGGAACTATTTGCTTGGACACGTCAGTCATCTTTATCACAAGGGCGATTACAAAGAGGTGGGTCATGTCTTTCAAATAAATTTACCTACCCAGCTCTCTAGTTCTCTGTTAATGTCTGTGTCCGTTTTTGGATGCATTTCAATGTGAATTCCGTTTCATCACAGCAGCTGCACACTGTGAATGGTACAGCTTAGCATGGTCTTCCCATGTACACGAGTAGGCTGTGTTCAACCTCGTTTTTTCTAATGGCTGAGTACAGAATGCCAGCGAATCCTTCCTCCACCCCTTTTTTGACCTTTGAAAGTAATAGGTTAATAGGGTTTCATTTGGAGAATTTAAGGGGATAGTTGTGTTCTTTTTTGTTTTCCTTGTCTTTGACAAGAAAAGAAGGGATTTTAGTAGTTGGTCATAGACCTGCTGTGCTATCTCCAATCTGCCTGCAGCGAGGAGGGCTTGGAAAATCTCTGTTCCCACGTGATTACCCTAACCAAAGAGTTCTCAGTTTGAGGAGTTTTGAAACCTCTTTACCGTTGAGGCTGATATTCAAAATGTGTTACTACTTGTGTATTTGAGTTTGAGCAGCTGACAATGGCAGGAGTTCACCAAACCCAGAATTTAAAGTTTTACCCTGTGGCTTAGAGTACTTGCAGCATCTCTGGCATCACCATGATGTATTGGTAGCCTTGCGAGTGTTCTCATGAACGAACTACAACTCTGTTAATGTTTGGTTTGTGTTTTTTAAAGGCAAAAACCATAGGTTTGTTTTTCTCAAAGGAAGATGGTTCACTTTGGTGGTGTAGAACAGCTTGATCTTGTTTAGCAAAAGAAAAAAATCAAATAGCAATTTTAAAATCCTATTCTTCAGTAAAGCCAAATTCTCAAGTGAGATCGTGGGATTCCATTCTTGCTGATTTCTTTGAATACTGAAACAGGGATATTTCATATTTGATTAGAAGTTCACAGGTAGCTGTTTGAAACTTACTCTTTTGCTCTGTAAGTTTTTCAACATGCGTGTTTGAAAATCCTAACAGAAACATAGTATTTGACTATATTCAAGTGTGATTTTTAAGTTCACGCCTCCAAAGATATTTATTGTTGTCATTAGAAATGCAGTTGTTTCTAGATCTGGTTTTGGAAAGCTCTAAAGTGGGGGTTTTTTTTGGTGGAATTGTTTTTCTGTTCTTTCTTCCACAGTAAAGCTCATTTACTAGTCATTCCCAGTGTGAAGAACAGGAAACCTCAACTGTTGCTTACCCTCAGCCATAACTTTCTTCTAGTTTTGTTTTGTTGCCAGAAGGATGAATAGAATTATCTTCAAGAATAACAGGAAATCTTTCACTGCCCTTCGGGACTGATCATACCTAAGTTCACAGCAACTAACCCCAAAAAACCTGGAGCCAGGGCTCAGAGCACTTGCAGCGGGCTGTGGCGTGTCTGTTCATCCTGCTCTTCCTCATCTTTCTGTTGGGTCAGTAAAGCAGATTCATGTGTAGGATTTTTGGCTCTTCTGTCTCTCAACTGAAAGGACAGAAATCCTTATAAATCCCCGATGTCGTTATTTGTTTTCTTGCCGTACTTACAAGAAGACACCAGGCATTTATTCTAAGGCACATTATTCCCTCTTCCTGTTGTAATGCATTTCCTACTGTGGTGTGCGAACCATGGAGGTCCCCAGCTCTGCCCCGTGGGTTAAGGCTCCTTCCCCTCACAGAGGTTTTGGAGAAAGATGTCTTCAGAAAGCGAGAGCCCAGACATCCCTGGGGACAGCTGTGGTGGTTATTTGTTTCTGAAGCACATCTGGCCCTCCCTGCCTGTCTTGGCTTAGTCTTTAGTTATGCCTCATGCTGCTCAAAAGCTGAAGCAGTTGCGAATCGCGGCAGCCGGGAGCTTTGCAGTGAGCTGCTGGGAGGGCCGCCTGACGGGCGTCGTGGGGGCGGCTGGGAAGTCCTCAGCTGTGCTCAGGCGGTGGTGGGTTTGGTGGAAGATGGCGCAGGTGGGATTTAGCGGCTGTGGTGAGGAGGCACCTGCGGGGAGCGCTGGCCAGCGGATGGCACTAGTGCTCCCGGGATGCAGGAAAACAAGCCGATACAGTGAGAGTTGGAGGAAAACGCAGGGGCGCGTCAGTGGGTTTTTGAGGCGTCTGGCCTGTTTAGGGGTTTTATCCATTCCTTTGCGAATGGAGTTGCAGCTGCTGGAGGAGAATGGCAGCGTGGGGCCTTGCAGGCTGCTCTGGGGCTGTGCGAGGAGCTCCCGGGTCTGCTCTTCGTGGCCCACACGGCGGGAGGAGGCAGAAGGGTTTAACATTCCTCAGGTAGTTTCAGGTGAAACGTGGTGGCTGTGTCCCCTTCTGAGAAGCCCCCCGAAGCCATGGGCTGTGGCTCCACGCCACCCTCGACCTGGGCTGTCCTGGGCCGTGCCGGAGCCTGGTCGGGCTGCCGGGTGGACGGCTTTGTGGGAAGGGCAATGGCTGCTGGTGGGGCCGGGACAATGCGGGGATTCAGCAGACCGGGGGTAATGCAGCGCGAGCGAGTCTGTGAGAGGGCCTGAATAGGCCAGGCTGTGCTTGAGAAGAATGAGGGGTAGGCAGAAGGCAAGCTAGTGTTTCATGGTCATCTTATGTTACACTTCAGCCTTTCAAAGAGTGTCTGGGCCTGGTTGAATGAACCTCTCTTGCACTGCGAATGCGGGAGCCTAAAGACAAAGGGGACTCTTGTCACTCGCAGGCCCCTTTCGGGAATAAAAGCCATTGTCACATGAACAGGGCAGTCTGGCAGGCTGTGCATGCTTCAGTGCCCCATGATATCGCTAAGTCTCAGCAGAAATCACATTCAGGGCCCTGTCAGCTTTGATTAGCGGGGTCTCATGACTTAATGTGCTGCGATATTTCATGTCTAAGGGTGGCGGCTGTCTTTCTGTGGGATGAATGCCCTCTATTGTCCACGGAGTTATTTTATTTACATTTTTTCAAACAGCTTATAAAGGTAAAAAGATAGCTGTGCTTAAAGAAAAAAAATCAAATTCCTTTGCTTCTGGATCAGCAGTGAGTGCTGCTGGGGTCAGATACAGTGAAACTTGTTTTCACAGTCAGCATCAAAGTTCTCATCTTGTTTAACAGCTTTATAGTAAATTCTGAACAGGTGGCAGTGGAGCTGGCTTTAGGAAGGAAACAATAAATAATCTTTTTAGCCTCTGACAACCAGAAATATTTTTGGGCCTGAGAGAGCTCCCACTCCAACTTCTCTGTATCGGTGACTAGCAGCATTTTTCTCCCTGTCATCAATTTGGTTCTTAAACAAGAATATTGAACTAAGCTATTAATGGGACAGGGAGTATTTAATTTTCAGCAGTTGTCCATTTTGGAGGTTGTCCACCCAGGTTTCTCTGTTTTCAAAAGCAGAGTATATTTTTTTCTGCTAGTGTTTCATCTGTTAATTTCTACAAATAATGAAGGTTGATTCTGTGTGTTAAATTCAGTTAATGTTTCCTCTTTCAATTAAGATGAAATGAATTATTTATTAAAATTCAGTTGTTAAAATTGTCATAAAATAAGTTGGAGTACCCCGAGAAAAAGCTCTGTAGTCACAGAATTCAAAGTTTTTGTCAGCAATACATACTACTACAGACGTAATTTGGTAATTCAGTAGAAAGGATAGTTGACCAAAGAAACTTAAAGGAATACAAATTATGCAAATAAAATTCTACAAATAAGGTGTAGAAATGCATAGTTCAATCAACAACATGACCTTCAATTTTCAGCGTAGTGATGTTTTGAACACCGATTCAGGGATGTTATTGTTTGTAGTCCTACTTCATACGTGGTGCTTAATAATACACATGGTGTGTTTTTGCAAATCTGTCAATACAGAGCAGTGTTAAGATTGATTGAGCACATTAATGGATATTCAGATTTTGTATTTCTTCACTCTTTCTTAAGCTGTACTCAGGACAGTGAAAATGTCTCTGATACTGCTTCTTTCCCCCATTCACCACCTTAATTACAAAGGCTTGTTCAACTCTTACTGTATTTTAAAGTGTGTCCATTTCAATTTCCTTGTTTCTTTTAAATTAAAAATAATAATTGATAAGAAAAACAAGGAGTATGTTATAGAGGATGTTTGTCATGTAAAGATGATGATGTGAGTCTCAACCCTTTTTTCCCTTTAACTTAATCTACAGCTAAAGGACAGATTTAATGGCACGTTGCCTGCTAGATTCATGCCACAGAGGTAGAGCAGAGGTAGTCAACCTGCGGACTGCCTGCACGTCTTCTGGAGCCGCCGCTGCTATGGGCGTCTGTCTGGTGAAGTGGTTGGGAAGGAGCTTGAGCGTTGCCAGGAAATAATAATTCAGATGGCAGTATTCTGCTCCTACTGCCAGCATTTCTGGGCTCTTGTCAAGCAAGCAGGCACTTGGAGAAGAGGTGTGGATGTGCGGCAGATCTAGCTGTACGGAGAGTCTGGATCTGGAGAGTCTGGTGAAGGTGGGTCGCCTGTGTGCACAGGAAACTTGGGCAGTGCTCTAGAGTATTTGTGAGGGTGCAGTGACCAGTTAAGCCAGGTTTAAAACTGCTTTGAGTGACCTGAGGGAGACAAATTATGGAAGTGTTTGTTTCAGTTCCCTCTTCCTTTCACCTGTGCACACGCATGTTCCAACCTTGACTTCTCTCCCTCTACCTCAGATTCTTTAGGTATGAGTAACCTGTCACTACTTCATTTTGACGGTCTCACTCCTTATAAAATACGTTCATGCTCTCGTGAAAATAGACCTGGGAAATTTCATGTTTTTCTCATTTCTGAAGATCTTCCTGAAGACAGCTGTGTATATTGTATGCTCTTTAAGCAGGAAGTAATTAAACATCTAACCTGATGTCATGCACTATGCAGTGATGCACTCCGAGAGTTTGGGCAAAGCTGATTAGCTACAAGCTTGAAATGAGTGATTCTAAAACACAAAACAGATGTTCCCAATGATTAATACATGGTGTGCCTTTTACTCAGTTACTTCTACCATTATTATGTATGCAGGCTTTGATCAGTGTGATTTTCTCAGAGTTGATGTTGGATCCTCCTCTGCAAAGTCGCGTTCTGTTGTTTGGTCTGTTCTATGGGTTTTCAGAAATTCCTTCACCATTGTTTCAGAAATACTACACTAAGTCAGGCACAGGCATATTTACCTTTATGTTGTCCCAACTTGCTTGCAGCAGAGCTAAGTAATGCAGGAGTCATCAGAAACCATTTGTGTCTGTCCTGCATCATCACTGCAAGCGGTGCTGCTTGCAAAAGGTTATTCCTCTGATGCTAACCCCACCGTGGGAAAATTGCCTAAATTGTCAGTGTAGACACCACCCAAGTGCACATGCCCTTGCAGATAAGATCTTATGTGGCTTCCTGCACTTCGTACTGTATATGGAAAGAATAGTCATTTTTAGATGAGACAGAGCCAATTGCATTCAAAACAAGTAGAGAGGATCAGGTATTGGTGCAGGGTGCTCTGGGTTTGTGTGTTCACTTTAAAACACTCCCCATTTTCCCATACTCTTGTTTTTGCAATCGCATGACTAGAAGGGTGGTCTGGTGCTCGTGGCTTGGCCTGAACGCGTCAAGTTTGGGTAACTTCCCCCATGCTAGAGTCAGTGCACCTACATGTATTTTAGATATAATTTAATGTAGTATTGCATTCTTTCCCTTCCTCATCCAACCCTCCTTTGGTATATTTTTAGCTTTCCTTGGGAAACAAAACTGTCCAAAATACATTACAGAATGTCCAAATATGATTTTTGCTTTCACCATAATTAAATCAAAGAATCACCCAAGGCTCCCCGAGGACAGTGAGAAGACTCATGAACTTTGATGGGATTTGAATCAGGCAATGGATCATCACCTTTTCTCCTGTACTAGGCAGTGGCTTCATCACGTACCTGTCCGCTACACTTGGGGGATGCAAGGCAAGAGAGGGACCAGCCTTTCCCGTATTTCTTTTATGATCTGGGGCAGGAGGGTTTCAGTATTAGGTTAAACACTCCTATATGTAGCGATAATGCTAATAAGACTAATTCTTTGCTGTTATTAGATCGCATGCTAGGAACTCTCAATGTATGAAATGTATTTTTGTGAAAAGGCTGCTTGTACTACCAGTCTATATAGGTGTGTTCTCTTTATAGTTTGAGGGAGGGTGAGTAGACCCTGATAAGCTGACAATACGTTAGCTTTCACCAGAGCTGTGTCATGTTCCTGCATCATAGCTAGGTTTTCTGCTCTTACTGATCAGCTAGTGAAGTGTGGGGGGGTACCTGCTGCTCCGGATTTTTGTTGCCCTGCTGATCCAACCTGTGTCTGAGGATCTCAGTTGGACTAACATGATTGCTAGCTTCCAGCCACCCTGGCTGGTCTTCCAGCACAGCTTGGGGAGCGCAGCACTGCATATGGGGAAAGGCGTGTTGCTTGGGTGGGGAGGGGGATTCTCACCGTTTCAGTTGCAGCATGCTGTCTGCCTAATTAAAGTGTTTGTTTTCTAACTACAAAATGAGTCTGCGACTGAGGTGTTGCTTTTCTGGAGATCTTATCATCTATAAACAGACTGTTAAAAATAGGTTCATTTTACACAAAACTTGTTTGTGGAGTGAAACAATTCAAAACATGATAATAACAAAACAAAATCTTAAAATAGCTCTAAGTTGAGACCACAGACACAGCTGCCAAACACTTTCATCTTTATTACAGTTACTCATATCTCTTCTCTTATTATTCCTATTGTAAACACACTGATTTTATCTCAGTTGTCCTCACCATTCAGCCGGCCAGCCCATGTAACTACACCCTGCAATCCAGCCTGGTTGTTTGTTCCTAGGACCCAGGTCATGCGTCTCCTTCCACGTTTAGCTTTGTGCATGGACGAGGCTGCTGCCCCGCTGCTGATGGTGTTCCCCGCTGCGGGAAGTTTCTGCCAGCAGCACAATTTGACTGCTCCATCACCTACTTTAACTGGTTAAAATGATGTTAAAAACCAGCTCCTATGATTTGCTCGAAGTTCCTCTGACCTGCAGCAGCAGTGGTGGTGTAAGCTGGATCTGCCACAGCTGGGCTTGGAAGGCCGTGTCTCTCCCGGCTTTGGCTAAATGAATATTCACTGCTCTACACCCTTTGGTACTGGGTAGAATGTACGTCTAGTAAAAGAGGAAAACCTAACCTGACACGGCGCATGTTCATCTGATTAAGTCACCTGTACCGTTAATGGAGGTGGAGATAAAACTACGCCATTTAGATAACAGTTCTGCAATTAGGTTAAGCTGAACATCTGTGTGAACATTAAAAAGCTATTAGGGAAACCATTGTATGCTTGCATGTTAAAACTAAGGGATTACTTGTTTAATAGAAGGTACTAATGAGATCAAATGGTGAAACACGATTTTGAGAGTTGCAAGTCTTTTTTTGGGTGGTGTGTTTTGGGGGTTTTTTGTGTGGTTGTTTTTTGGTTTTGGTTTTTTTTGGTGTTTTTTTTTGTTTGTTTGGTTGGTTTGGGTTTTTTTGTTTTATTTTTTTTAATTCAGCAAACTGAGATAGCTGGGAGGCAAATAAAACCAGCTGCCAAAGCCTTGAAGATCCAAACTCCTTCTTCGGGTCCAAAACAGAAGTAGCAACTTTCAACTGTATACAAGTTTAGGATAATTACTCAGTTTGAACTTTGTGATGTTAATTTGGTAATTTGAGAGATAAGTTACTTGCTGCTTGTGGAGCAGAGTAGGATATTAGCCTCTAAATATGTGGAATAGTTATAAAGTCTGGAGTAAGAGAGAGATTTGGTTGAAAGTTTAGCTGGGCTGAGAAATTATAATGTGCCTTTCTATTCAGTATCTGGTTTGAAGCATACAGTCACTGCATTAATGTTAGTTCCTGCTTTTGTCACCTAAAGCTCTTCTGTTGATTTCTGGTTTTGGGATGAAGCCCGGACTGTCAGTGATGCAGTGTTCGTTTTGTTTTAAAACACCATAACACCTGCCCCCCCAACCAAACCCAAACCAAACCAAATAAAAAAAGTTTTCCCCACTGATAACTGGATATCTCTATTCTTTCTGGACGGTAAGATTGAACGATTAAAGTTACATGGTGTGTGTTGGTTGTCTGCTTTTGTACACTCAGTCTTTGATGCAGTGGATGAAATACATGCATGAATTTCCCAGAAGGTAATGTAATCCACAGCTTCTGCTGTGAGCAATGCTTGGATGAGCTGTTAGATTTTGTCTGTGTTGCTTGGCTGGGTCTGCAGAACATGTGCTTCCAGTGATGAGTGAAGCTGAGGTGTCATTTGAATGCTAGGAGAGATCACAGAAAATGTGTTTCAAGGTGTGCTCCTACCTTCACTTAGGTTATTTTTCTGGTTAAATTTTTCTGTAAAGGTTTCATGTAGGTGAAATGTCATGATAAGATTTGCATTTGCTTGAGGGGAATGCACATTTTTTACCGTGTTATGTTTGATTACTTATTCTAACAAATAATACAGTTCTAAAATGCAACTATTTATTAGTGTTGATCTGCTGGAGGGTAGGAGGGCTCTGCAGAGGGATCTGGACAGGCTGGATTGATGGACTGAGATCAACTGTATGAGGTTTAACAAGGCCAAGTGCAGGGTCCTGCACTTGGGTCACAACAACCCCAGGCAACGCTACAGGCTTGGGGAGGAGTGGCTGGAGAGCTGCCCAGTGGAAAAGGACCTGGGGGTGCTGGTTGACAGCCGGCTGAATGTGAGCCAGCAGTGTGCCCAGGTGGCCAAGGTGGCCGACAGCAGTCTGGCCCATATCAGCACTAGTGTGGCCAGCAGGAGCAGGGCAGTGATCATGCCCCTGTACTCGGTGCTGGTGAGGCCGCACCTTGAATCCTGTGTTCAGTGTTGGGCCCCTCACTACAAGAAGGACGTTGAGGTGCTGGAGTGTGTCCAGAGAAGGGCAATGGAGCTGGGGAGGGGTCTGGAGCACAAGTCTGATGAGGAGCAGCTGAGGGAACTGGGGGTGTTCAGTCTGGAGAAGAAGAGGCTGAGGGGAGCCCTCATCGCTCTCTACAACTGCCTGAAAAGGGGGTTGTGGTGCCATGGGTGTTGGTCTCTTCTCCCAAGTAACTAGTGATAGGACGAGACGAAATGGCTTCAAGCTGCACCAGGGGAGGTTTAGATGAGATATTAGGAAAAATTTCTTCACCGAGTGGTCAATCATTGGAACAGGCTGCCCAGGGAGGTGGTGGAGTCACTGGAAGTGTTCAAAAAACATGTGGACGTGTCACTTGGGGACATGTTTTAGTGGGCATGGTGGTGTTGGGTTGATGGTTGGACTTGATGATCTTGAAGGTCTTTTCCAACCTTAATGATTCTGTCATTCTGTGATTCTATTTTGACAAAACAAATCTATCATTTTCATGATCTTTCTCTGAAACCAAAATCAATGACAGATAGCAGAGGAACCCGTTGAAGATAAGAGCGTTATGTCTAAGCTCTAACATACTGTTTTTATCCTCATCTGAATAAATAGGCATTTGTGAACTCAGTTGATTACATACTCTGTCCTGTTATTGCTTAGCCTTACATGCATGTGGCAGTAGGGTCAGAGGTGATGTGTTTTCAAACACTGTTTGCAACCGTTTTGGAAAATAGAGCCTAACTTTGCAAAGTAATTAGAAGAACACTTCATGTAAAACATCCTTGTTACCTAGTTCACAGTTAACATCAATACGAACACATAAATGCGCTAGTGGGCTCCTTGCTCTTACTACTCTATTTACTGGAACAATGCACTATATTAAAGAAAGCCGTTATATGCTTATTCTGGATTTGAGATCCAAGTATTCTCACACACTACAGAAATCAGATACTATTAACTACTTAAAATCCTAATTAGTTTCTGTGCCTCCCAAGCAATGCACAGTTTGATCTTAATACCTTTCTGCAATCACCAAGCTGGGACAGTATAGACAGAGGCTGAACCAGTTCTTCTTGCAGTCTGAGTTACTGCAGTTCCCCAAAGCAGTCTCCTCATCTGCAGAAAACACTGATTTGGAGTTAGTTTGTGATTGTGCAGGTCTTGGCTTATCAAAGATTTGTAGATACCACAAAAAGGAGCAATACGGTTCTTACCGTCTTTCTGATTGTGGTGAACCTTAGCACTTTCAGGGATGTGGAGTTAGCAGAAATTATAAAAACTAAGACCTCTTGATTTCAGGATCTTTTAAATCTTGAGTTGCTTTCACAAAATGCAACCATTTTGCAAAATTCAAAAGGCACAGCAAGATGGGTAAATTTAACTCATAGTGGTGTGGTGGGTCAGGTGTTTTTTACAATTATATTGATAGAAAATATCTATCTTAGCTGATTTTGTCCAAGCACTTTACTTCCTCTCTTTTTGACAGACAACTTGATCTTTAAGTTTTGCTCCGGGGTATGCTGCTGCTCAGAATATGCAAGTGTTCCAGGAGCGTTCCTGTACTTTTCTAAGTGCAATGTATGTGGCCAAATGTTTATATGATTTGTACTTGAAAACTTAACAGAAATAATTAACACATTAAAAATTTGTATAATAGCATATATACTTCACTTTGGAATAATGCCCATTTGTCCACTGTGGTGTTCTTCTCCTAAATACACAACTTTTTTGTATTTTTTAGGCAGCCATACTGAGTATTAAGCTAAAATTACAGCCAGATCAAGATGTGGAGAAGGTGAGTCATTTCCTCTGCAGGCTTCTCTGTCATCAGATCAACCTTTTGTTAAGCAGGAGATCCATCAAGGCCCTCCAAGTTGTGCTGCCTTTCACTTGAGGCTTTACTTTGTTCCCAAGAAATAGCTGCTGCATTGCTGATGTACTTTTACATCTAGGGAGCTACCAGACTGTATTTTGTTAGACCCCATTGCAGCCTATTGGACTGTTTTTCTAGCTGCAGCCACTGTTATAAAAAATTCTAGCTGTGTTCTTGACAAATGGTTATTACTATAATGGAGTTCAGTGCTTTTGCTATTTTGAAGCTTTGCTAATATTTGTGTTGAAAACATCATGTCATTTGTGTTGGCTATTATTTGTGTTGAAAATGTCACATCACTCTTTTAGGCAGCACAGGTTGATTAAGCAAGGGGTTTGTGACTTGCTCACCATATCTGAGCAGCAGGGAATGGGAGAGCCCTCTGCCAGGTTTCAGTCTGCGGTGTCCTGGACCTCTTCCGTGCCTTCTGTGTGCTGCTGCACTCAGTCTGCGGAACATGGGGATCAAAGGCAGGGCACAGGGCTTTAAATGTAATTTCTTCTCCTAGATGTGTACACCACTACTGCTCCAAGATAAAACTAACTTGGTGGAAGAATATGTGGGAGAATATCCTGAGCTCCAGAGCAAGCTCTTGCAGATCCTGGACACATGGTGTGAACCTGGTTTTAATATCAGAGACATCACAAGGTAGAAACACTTGTTGACTTTCTAAAAAGCTGGAGCCAACTTGCTGTCAGAGAACAGTATGTTCTCTGGTTGTCTAAGATTGTTTCTCAGCAATATATTTACTTTTCAGCTGAGAAAGGGGAAATTCTGGTGTCTGTGCCAGAGTCTTCTCAAATGCCTCAGCCCGTAAGACAAAGGCATCATTCCTATTGACAGATGCTCAGTTCCTGCCAGGAGAGAGAAGTGCAAACCTGTGCAGTAGGTCTTAGCAATATAACAATATCAAAGCTTCCTTTAGGAGGTTGTAGCAATCAGACTCTCGTGCTTTGCTGCAGACCAGGGTGAGTTTCAGTATCGGTTGTACAGGTTTTGCAGGAAGATAATACTGTGATGAAGTGGCAGAAAAACAAGAGATGCAAGTGGTTAACCTTCATGTGCTCGTGAAATAGTCATGTGTGTTTTAATCTATAAATTGCCTCTCACTAGGATAGCTCCTGTCACTCACAAAGGCAAGAGTACAATCAGACTCACAGTGTAGATGCAATAGTTGCAGTCTTTGTTCTGCAAAAAGACAAGAGGGAATTGCTCGCTTCCTCTTTCTTTGAAATAACCCCCTGGACTTGCTTCAGTCATTGACTGGGCAATTTGTGTGGTTGTATTGTTGGCTTTTTGGTGTAACTTGGGAAAGGTAGGGGATTGTTCTTGCCAACACCTGGCAAACCCTAATATTTCTACTGTTAAATATCTACTATTTGGGAAGCATACTTTAGGTGATCCCACAGATGTGTCTTTCTGATTTTATTTATTTGCTTACAGACAATATCAAGGCCTGTCCAGGTACAAACCAGATAAATTTAACCGCAAAATGCTAAGCAAGCTGATCTTCAGGCTCCTAGACCGATTTAATGTAGATCCAGGTATGTGATATTGCAACATCTTGAGGAGTTATCTCACCAATAAAGAACAGATGAAGTCAATTTGTCTTCTTCCATGTTCAGCAAGGAATCTCTGCTGTAATTTATCATGACATGTTTCAGGGTTTAATTAATGATATTGAAAAACAAAGCTGGTAAGTTATGGGAATTATCACTTTGTGCTGTCGAAGAATGTAGTGCTTGTGAATAATAGACTGCTTCTTCCGTGATATGAAATAAGTCTTGACCTCAGAATGGCTCTACATAAACACATGGTGGTCAGCTTTGAGTTATGATTCCATTCCAGTCACATAAAAGGCAAGTCATTATTCATCTGGGGATCTGTTTTCTTGAGTTATGGGTCCATCAGCTGGGAAGAGATAACCCTTAGGAAGCAGGAGCCTCACAGCTCTTTGTATTCTTTGCATAAACTAGGGTTGGTGGTAGGGAATTTTAAGGCTGTTGAAGCCTTCTGAGAGAAGTAACACATTTTACATCACTGAATAGATGTACTTCACTACCAGTTACCTAACAAAATCTAGTTTGTTTGGCTTTGGTTGTTAGCGGGGACTGTTGATCTTTTTTCTTCACTTTGGGACCTTGCATCAGACACCTTTAGGTGCACCGTTAGATTTCAGCTGCAGAGCTTTTCATCATCAGCACAAGATAGGCAATTCTCTTTTCTTGGACGGAAAAGTGTTTTCTAACCACAAATTGTGGGCTTATTACACCTGGCAGGAATACTATATTGCATATTAATCTTCACATCTTCAGATTGGTGTTCAAAAGTTAACAAGATAATCCTTACAAACCCTCATTGGAGGATAAGTAAATATGAGCAAACTTAGCACATCGGTGTGAAAGCTGAGACATTTCAGGGTGATTTATTTAAAATCTAAAACTTTCCATGGAGTTTACTAGTCTTCATTGTTTTTTCCTCCTTTACAAGGTTAGTCATTCAGTAGTCTGTATTGTCTTCTATAATCTGTGAAGAGAATTGGGTTGTTCCCCTGTGGTTATGAAAGATCCACCAAGGGTATGATATTAACTGTAGAGGTGAAATGATAGAACTGTTCACATGCAAAATCCTGGGAAATAATAAAAAAAATACCTAGGAGAGGAGCGTGTAGCTGTTGATCTTGGGTGCTCTCTGTGAGATGGTAGTGTGCCTCAGCCTGGCGATGGTGTCCCAGATGTTGTAGCTGCCAATAATATATTGGCCAAATCTTGCTGGTCCTCGACAACACATTCACTGGTGAGGAGGTTCGTTGAGGTAGATACAGATCCCATTCCTGTCTACACTTCCAGAGAGTGATTTATCGTGCAAACTGCAGTGTCTGCAGTGCAGGATAAGTCACTTGCTAGAGAGGGCTGTCCTCCTCTGTAGACGTGGGAGCGGATATGGGCTGCTGATTTAGACAAGATGCCAGCTTTGGGGCAGCTAAAGCCAGTGTTGGATGACTCTCATAGTCCCATATATGAAAGCAGGTGTTTATTTTTTATGTAATATCACATGTAATTCAGAGCAGGACTTTACATTTTGCTAAACTGTGGCTGTCAGTCTCCTTTGAAATGCTTTGGAAAGGGATGAATGCCTACAGAGGAATTTCTGCCTTAGTGCTGGTCCTGCTTGAACTGAATTGGCAAATGGCGGCAGCTGTAATAACACAGATTTCTTTTTCTTCCCACCTCTCTCCCTGCCTTTCCTCTGAAGTTCTGGGTGTTCTTTCTCCATTCTTTAGTGGAAGTAAATCTGACTGTGAGGAAAGAGCGTACAAAAAGGAAGCGGGCTAGGTAAAATGTACAGATTAAATACTCCTTAATTTCTTGTGTTCTGAGCAGCTCCGCTAGAAGCTAGCAGTGAGGTAAAACTCACGCTTCTTGTTACCTAACCTGATTGTGGGCTTGTTCAATGCCGCAGTCGTCTGCTGCTTTCTAGCTCCTCTTCACTCATGACTCCTGCTTGCTGAAAGAGGCCAAGACCAGCAGCAGAAGAGGGAAGTGGCTTTTGGTGAGAAAGGCTGGAGGAGGACAGGGTTTCTTGGTATGAGAAGGCAAACTTGGACGTGACTGAGTTCTTGCAGTTCCAAATCTACTTTGATATTTCAGTACCCGAGCTCACTCTTATCCACTCACAGTACATTTCACTGACCGCTAAGCAAAACATAGGTGTTGATCAGCCATTAAGGTTTGAAACACTTCTTGGAACTGCCAGTCTTACATTTAAGAGCCAGATAGGAGGTGGCCCAATATAAAAACGATCTGGAACTTCAGGGGGGACAAAAAAGCCATCGTCTTAGATTAGTCCACCTCTTCCTTTTCTGAACTGTATTTCAGTATTCAATGTCAACGCACAGAACAGTGCATGGTAAGTGGAAGAGTTTCTGCTGAGTCCCAAAGGTGTCCCAATAAAGTGTGTGTGTATTCCACTTAATTAGCTTTATTGGGGAAGGAAGAAGTTGGGCAGAAATGGTATGTGATTGAGGAAATGGAGTTTTATAGAGTCTTTTCTCACACATGGGTCAGCATGCTCTGGTTTAACAAGCCTGGAGCTTTTGCAGGCCAATTACTTAATAGTCTTTGGAGCCCCTGTGAGATTGACTTAGATTTACAAGTGCAAGTTTCAGTCAAAACAGTTCTCAGAGATGAGGGGACAGACCCTACCTAGGTTTGACATGGTTGGGTCTATTTTCTGTCGTTCTTTGCACAGCCAGTATAGCACAGCGAGTTCAGTGGCATTTTTCAGAGGTACAAATGATACCACTCTGAAGAGTATAACTGTCCTCATATATTGGGCCTTCTTGCCTGTATGACAGTAAAGCCGGTAGTAGTGGCGTTGATAGAACAGAGACAGCAACTGAATGCACAGTTAACAGTTGTCGTCCCGCAGCGCTGTGACGGGTTAGCTGAGCGCCTTAAGTTTTGAATGCTCTGAACATATTTTTACCATAGCCTTTGAAGAGTTTTTGCAGCACAAACTAAGGGAAATGCTTCTCTTCGTTCGACCACCAGGTTATCCTTTTGGTGTGACCTTTGCTTTCAGTTCGGCGTGCATCTGCCTCGTCGAGCCCCGGCGCGGAGGCGCGAGGCGCGGCGCTAGCCCTCCG